AGCACTGCAGCCATATTAAAGCCTTACAGCACTGGGGTCGTCTGTCCGAATCCTGGCCAGGGCACTATCTGCATGGAGTTCTCCCTGTGCTTGCGTTGGTTTCCGCCCACACTCCAAAGACATGCTGGTGGGTTAATTGATCCTAGTATGTGCGTGCATGTGAGATAGGGACCTTAGGTTGTAAGCTCATTGAGGACAGACACTAATGTGAATGAAGAGTATGTAATAAGGTTTGTAAATTGATGGTGCTATATAAATGTTTGTCACAGACAGACATTAAGGCTACGCTGCACAATGTGGCCCCTACTATAATCTACGGATGCACCCACTAATAATTAGATAAGGTGATGGAAAAAGTTGAGCTCAAGGTTATCTGGAGGTTAACCCCCTCAGCTCTTTAATAATACAGCGATATGCAAGGGCCAGTGTTGCTCAAAGTAGCTGAAGCCCTTTAAACCAAGAAAAAAGATGAGTGAATGTAGCCAAAACAATTTTACAATCTTAACGTGCTGTCATCCCTAAAATGTTATAACTAACAAGGAGAAACAGAGGGCTTTGAATATAGCACCCAAGAAAGATCTATTGCACAAAAAAATGTATTAATACAAATATAAAACACACTATTAAATATTAATCATTTTTTTGCCCATTACTGTATTTAGCATATTACATTTATTATTTCCTGAGAATGTTTTTAGATTCAAGAGAAAAATTGCACAAAACTTCACTTATATGGTCTGTAAATTTGTATATAAATAAATAAATATTTAAAAAAAACAAAAGACAGGTGTGTTGATACCCTTATGCCTAGACAAGGCAGGAGGCCATTGATATAATGCTGTCCATTGTGAATTAATATTCTCATGCAGTTGATTTTAAGCAAAAAGGGAGGCAAAATAGACCCAAAATTTGCTGCTTCCCCAAAATGTTATATATTTACCAAATATAATACTCATGGTGACCATAAGCTAGGTCTATAAAGATCACATGATGTGATCTCCTTTATACACTCAGCATGCAGTCACCCCTGGAGTCTTAAGGTGCCCATACACCTGCAGATTATCGCCCCTATCTCACATGCACACACGTGTCTTCCGAGCACGCTTGAAAACCTGCCCAAGCGCACACTGCCCGCTCAGCATTGGAATCATCGGAAGCCCTCCACTCAGCGGGGAGGGATTATGATGATCGCAAGTACGATCTGCCTGTCCAAGATGGGCAGATCGTACGAGATTTTAATTACCTTAACGAAAGTTGTGCGATGGTTGTAAGGTGTATGGCCAGCTTTAGGCAAGAATGTTTTTGGATTGATTACTCATTATAGCCTGTTTGGAAGGAGGAGAGAAGATTTTAAAGATGGAGCATTATTTGCCACCCTTTTGCTGATCATCGATTACAGCATGAGAATACTATTATTATTTTCTAATAGACAGCTTTACATAAATGACCACTGGGGAACCTGCCTCGTATAGGCATAAGAGGATTAACATAACCGGTATTTTTTTTTCCATAGCATACACAAATATACAGACTTTATAAGGGACGTGTTGAACAAGCATTCTCTATATTGGTTATGAAGCAGATAAAATCCATAAAACACGTGAATAACACCCACAAAATGCAGAAAAAAAACCTACAATCCACAAATCAACCTTATAAGGGTATAATAAATGTATAATGCTGAATAACATAATTGTCTCAAAAAACTATTGAATATATTGTATATCTATAGGTTTTTAATATCTATTTTCATGTTAATATGTTGTAACCAATTTGTTCATATTTATACACACAAACTTTATGTGCAATAGACCTTTCTTGGATGTTATTTTTAAAGTCTGTTTCTTCTTGATGGTTGTAGCTGAAGACCTTACAGGCACATGCAATACAAAACATGAACTGATAAATTGGTAAGGCCTTAAAATGCTCATAACCAAAAGGAAGGTGTGGAAAGAGGGGGAATATTAACGATAACGACCCTCTTACTTTGCACCCTCCCAGTTGGTTACAGGCTGATTGACCACTTATAATTTTTTCACTACATGCTTTTGAAGCATTCACTGTGCCCAAATGAATAGCCCTTTAGTACCCAACATATCTGTTCTTATTTGCACTTTGATTAGTCCAGACATGATTACTTATGTTGTTTTTATGACCTACAATACAACTATCCACATGCTTCGCAAATCCTAACCTTACTTTATGTGTTAGAAGTTCCCACATGGCGCAACAAAATCTGGACATTTTGCACTGGGCCCACTGGATACGTGAAGGGCATGCCTAATTACAAGTGGAAAAATGTATGTAATAACCACATTTACAAAATTTATAATTTTGCTACCCTGATCCATGATATCAAGTTTGCCAGAAAGGTGTAACAGTGAAGCTAGGTTGTTAAATATGAAAAGCAACATTAACACTTCTATGCAATTAAGGTTTTGTGCGTTTTCCCTGCTAAGCAAGGCAGTGCGGTGCTACTTTGGTTTGTGATGCTATTATGTGAAAGCTGAAATGACTAAAATTATACTTTTTTTTTCTAGAATAGTAAAAAGGTGAAAGAGAGAGCAAGAAAGAAAGAAAGAAATCAATGAAAAATGTGTCAATCAGTAGTAGCTAAAACGCACTCACACCGGCACTTGGAAATAAAGCAGACAATTCAAATTGATTTGCCTTCTCTTAACTATTAGTGTCATTTCAGCACACAATGCATCGGTTCAAAAAAGGTGTGATCGTGTAATGATAAAACAGCAGACATTAAGCCATTAAAAGCCAAGGCACATAGTTAAATACATGCTGCTGGAGGAGAGTGCATGATTATTGAAGAAGGGGAGAGGTTTGACTCAAAGTATGGAAGAAATAATGAATAAAAAACAGCACTTTCTGTGTAATGTTTATCCATTGAATAAGCAATTGAAAAGTGTTATGTTGTTGAAGGAGGATGTTAGAAAATACAGAAAGATGTTTGTGTGATTATTGGAGGAATTATACTTACGAGTTCAACTCAATTGAGCACACAAACAATGCAACTAAAAGGTATCTGCAGGCAAACAACACGCCAGGCCGGTAATCCTGGAAGAAGTAAGCCTCACACACAGTGCTGAACGTCATGGTCTAATGAAGTAGACCAGAGGTATTTGTATAGAAGGCACCATGCATACCATCATAGGAATGCTGCAGAGACTTCAAAAAGGCATGTCCATCTGTTTAACAGTTGCCCACGCTAGGCTTGCTGCTACCTTAGTACACAATGAGATAATTCCTACTTACCGATTCCTGGAATCAATGCAACACTCCCATTAAGTATATAAAAGATCTGCTACAGGTTTTCAAAATCTGCATTGGATCCTAATAGTTCCTGTTACTTTTCAGCACTAGCACTCAGAAAAGGCAAAATATTAAGCCCATCAATTTGAAAGGCTTATGTGTAAACGAGTTAGGGGAAATGCACTCAATCTGCAGTCATCTGGGTATGCTGTGATTTTTAATTTGGATGCTCTGACCTTATTGCATTAGCTTTTGTTTTTGCATGGGATGCACTCAACACCTACATCTCACAGCTGGTACAGCACTTTCAAAATCAATATTGCTAAAGTGCATAGTGTCAAATGGTTACAATAAAGAATTTTACGGCATGAGCAGGCTAGAGCTGTTGGAAGACACGCCATTAAATCTAAAACAACCTGGGCAGAATCTATAGCAGCTACTTCTGAAACATGCAGCAATGACAAAGTTTGACAAGTGCATTAAAGGACTCTGCAAAAATCATGTCATCCTATAATGAGCTGAAGACTAGGGAAATGGATTGAAAAGAAAGCACTTCTTATTTACAGAACTAAAAAAAAAAAAAATTACATAATCTTTAATTTCACTCACCAAATCTCTAAATTTCAAAACAGAGGCTTTAAAAGGAGAAAGATCAGAATTTGAATAGACAAGTCTAGCCTGCCTATTGCTGATTGCAACTAGTGAAAGTGGAAAATATAGATATAAGGATACACACATTTTTATGCATGTGTATACTCTGAGTGCTTTGGTTTCCTTCAAAATTACTCCTCAAAAAACACTGAAAGGTTAATTGGCTTCTGACCACACTGACTCTCGCATGATTGAGATGCAGAGATGCATGTATGACCAAAGTTAGGTGTATTGGATTATAAATTACTCTGGGCATGAACTTTTAAGAATTGTTTTATGTACTTAGAGTCCTGCATAATATTTTAGTACTATATAAATATGGAGGAAAAAAATAAAAAAGGTATTAGAGAGACAGGTAAAGAGAACTGCTAGAGTCCATACAATTACAGATGTTCCTCACTTACCGGCTTACCTGCTTTGCGACCACTCGCACTTACGACGGACCGCCGATCGACCTCGCGTCAGTGCGACGGGTCGCCGGCGGAAGTGACATCCCCCGATCTTCACTGCAGGTCTCGGTAAGTATTTCCATTGCCGGATGTACAGTACACTGTTCGGTACTGTACATCGGCAACGCTATACAGTACTGTCCTAATGCAGTACAGTACTGTATAGTGTTCCTCACTTAACGACCAATCCGTTTAACGACCTGGTCGTAGGAACGGAACTCTGTCGTTAAGTGAGGAATACCTGTACTACTCTGAATGCCACTATAGGTGCAATAAATATCCTTAGCCTGCTCCCAGCTGCATTCTTACATTAAAACAACACTTTTTCTTTGAATTTTCCTAACATGTATGTATCAAAAACCTTGAAATAACTAAAATATTTTACTAATAGCAAACAGATTAGGTTAGGTTCAGGCACTAACGTACTGTAACTAGAGTTTTAATAAATATTTCAAAAAAGTATATACAGAAAAGGCTACATTTTTAGGGTTCTAGACTATAGAGCCTAAAGTCTAGAAAACCATTACGCCCATGCATATTTTAACAAATCTTGTCTGTTGGTGTCACTCTGATTTTTCTATTTCAGCTCACTTAACCAAAAGATTTTTGTCTGAAATGTTCTTTCAAAGACAAAGAAAAAGACTGTCTCTAGGCAACCAGACAGACTGATGTTCACAGCATCACAGACTCTTGCAATACTAAACCGTCACGACGATTTCGATAGGCCGGACCACTGACTCCAGATTTGGAATACAGATAGTGTGGAGGGGTGCCATGATCATCTTGTGGAGAAGTTCTTGGTCTTACTGGACTGTTAATTGACAAAGATGAAAAATTGTTGACTGGACTTGCAGGCTGCTGCGCGTCTGGAGATCTTTGTAAATTTGACAAATGACTTCTTGATGTTTCTTTGTTTAAGGGTTGTCTAAATGTCTGAAACGATAAATCAGGGAAGACTGTGTGGTCTGCAACATAGTCTATGGGTGGAAGAATATACTTTTGGTTTTCTTTATGGTTAAAATTGCCTAAACGCAGAGTGGTATTTTCATCTGCAGGTACAACTTCAATTCTATTAGAGGGTGACATACCAGGGTTTTGCCTAACACTTGAATTGACTGTAATTTTATCAGGAGGAACATCAAAGCTATACCCATAAAATTTACTGGATGGACTAGCCCAGTTTACTGGTGAATGAGGTTCACTGTTCAAACGGTTCACTGAATATTTAGCACTCTCTGGATAAAGAGGAGGACTGCTGTGATACGGTGGTGGAGGTTGTTTTTGACTGTACCCGTCATCCGTACCCTGATATAGTGGAGAACGTACAGGAGAATGTGTTTGCATACCGATTCCTGAATTATTCTCAATTAACCTAGTTGGACTGGAACCTTTAGAGGGATGCCGTGAGGAAGTGGCACTGATGTACATCACATTCCTTGGAGAGGACAGGTCTGCCGAATGCCTAGAATTTTCAACATGATTGTCATTTTCATTTTCACCTCCAGAAACATTATCATACTGCGATGCATTTGACCCTCGTTTACTTCCCACCTCAACAACCCTATTTCTGTGTTTAGCAGTCACAATGCGAGTCTCAACCTGGACTACGGCATTATAGTCTGGTGGTTTTACTTTTACTTCACCCATGTGTTTCAGAAGAAGTTCCTTATTTCTAGAGTCCGAAGGCAAGTTCCATTTTGGAGCGATTCCCTTAGATACACTAGACGTTGCATTTGAGTTTTGATTAGCAGTAGCATGATCATAGTACTTAATGTTGTCCTGGGACAACGTGCTGTCTGGTGGAAACTTCCTATAATCTTGCTTAGGTTGTTCTGCACGGAAATCAGCTCCTCTTTTTGATGACTTAAGGGTAGACTTTTCTATGGAATTCTTTCTTCTCCTTTCTCCAATTGGGGACACTTGCTGAGGTTTGTTAGGAGATGATACTTTCTCAGGTTTTGGAAGTTTGCTATTATTCTTTTGCCCATTCATAATATGATTCATGTGTACTGGTGGTGGTTCAGGAGGAACTTGACCCAGTGGCTTTTTGGGGAATTCTTCCTCTTTACCTAAAGTTAAAGTATAAGAAAATGTGTTACTTTAGCAGCAACTGAGAAAACCTACATAAACTTTTTGGCTGTGCTGTGTTCTATGAAAACATTCTGATGCAGTTTACTCCAAACAATTCTAAAACCGTTAAAAGCATTTCTAAAAACTAAAACTTCCAACATAAAAATTCCAGACCATTCATCATAGTTTAAAACACTAGACACCAAATTAAAGGCAAACATTTCAGCTGACCCCAGTATTTTCTTTTCTAACACTTTGCATACAGTGGAGAATGATTAGAACTTCCGTCAGACATTTATAGCTGTCTGTTTCCCCCTTGGGGAGTTTTCTCTTTACCTAATATTCCTGTAACACATAACAAGAAACACAGACTGCAAAATAAAACCTCATAAGGATTCTTAGCTTTCCAATTTCCACTAAGAAGTGTTTTAATTGCTGCTTCTGTCCCCTTCGGAGATGTTTCCAATCATTTCCTGTCCCCCTGACCCCATCACAATGACAGAAAATGATAAGAAATTTGCCCAGCGAGGACACAGGGCAAAGTAAATCTTTCCCCACTCCATCCAGTACAAAAGAAAAATGTTTGGCTAGACTTCGGTTTTAAAACCTCTGGTAAGCAAAATAAATGATTGAAATGATTATTCTGTGGCAAAATCCAGTTGGTTTTTCACCACATGCACCATGTTCAACCACTCTGGATGCGTTATAATTCAAAATTTAATCAGATATCACATTTTACTTCTTGACAGTTTTTTTTTAACGTTTTGTCAGTTAGCAGCATGATGAACTGAAAGTGTCATATACATACACTGACACAGTGCTACATCTTCTAAAATGGGACCATTGTAATTAGCTAATTTCCATTGGCAAGTCTAAATGCATAGATTTCATTCACACACATGTAGTTCTCTCAGTATGAAGAATCATGTTAATTAAAGGTGTCAGCAGAAACTTTTTTACCCAAGTTTTTATTTTACGCATATTAGTTCTTCAATATATAAGCTTTTGCAAGCATTGTTTACATTTGCTAAATCTGTTATACTTAATCTGTCATTCTCGGCCACCTGAGGCTGCCACACAAAACAACCTATGTATTTAGAGCGCTACTACTGTTGGTATAAAGTAAATGAAGAAACTCACATTTGGGAAGTCCTTGGGGATTCTCCGGGGGTGAAGTGATGGCCTCTGTCAAGCTCGGGTGAAGGCTAAGCTTGAAAAAGAGGCTTGCGCCTCGAAACGCGTAGCAATCTACCCCTCGCACACCACTGGAAACTTTCTCACACCCCCCCTGTGACACTCAGAGAGGAGAGCACACTCTCTATGCCATCACGGCTTGGTCTCCTACACCCGCTGACTAAGACGACCGCTGACCGCACGTGTCACACAGTACCCCCCTACAGAGCACTCCTGGCCGCTACGGCTCAGCCTGGCCAGCTGAGCCCCGCCGCGAGATAGCTGCTCCTTCTCCTTAAATGTATCCTTGCAGCCGTCCATACCATTGCATTTCATCGTGCCTCACTTCCCTAAGGACTCCATCCCTTCACCCCCGGAGAATCCCCAAGGACTTCCCAAATGTGAGTTTCTTCATTTACCTTATACCAACAGTAGTAGCGCTCTAAATACATAGGTTGTTACGGCTTGGTCTCCTACACCCGCTGACTAAGACGACCGCTGACCGCACGTGTCACACAGTACCCCCCTACAGAGCACTCCTGGCCGCTACGGCTCAGCCTGGCCAGCTGAGCCCCGCCGCGAGATAGCTGCTCCTTCTCCTTAAATGTATCCTTGCAGCCGTCCATACCATTGCATTTCATCGTGCCTCACTTCCCTAAGGACTCCATCCCTTCACCCCCGGAGAATCCCCAAGGACTTCCCAAATGTGAGTTTCTTCATTTACCTTATACCAACAGTAGTAGCGCTCTAAATACATAGGTTGTTTTGTTCTTGTTACCACAGGGTACCTCTCCCTGTTCACAAAAAGCTTGCACACTGTATCCCAGCCTGAGTGACCCTTTCCAGCCACCGTGGACTCCCAGATAGTGCGCTTTCTCCTTTTGTCTTTGTTTTTTGAGGCTGCCACACAGACATTACATCTTTATTTGATGCAACCAAAAACTGTTGGCTTAGAAGACTAACTTGATGTCTATGAGCACCTTAAAGTATTCCTGTGACAATAACCAGTTTTAAAAACCAACACATGCAGTAAAAAGCTAACATTTCTCTTGGTATAAGTATGACATTGACCAGGCATGAGCAAAGTTACCTGGCCCTGTAATGCATAATAAGGTTAAAGGAATCTGGAAATTGCTGATCAAGGCAAACCGGTAAATGTGGTAATTTTAGTGGTGCATGAGTGTGCAGTCTGTCTGTGTGCTTTGTTTGTTTATGTCATACTTACCAACTGTCCTGGATTTTCCAGGACATTCCTGCTTTTTTTAAACTATGTTCCCATGATGGCTGTGTCCCAGGATCACAGCACAAGGTTCCCTGTGCACAGATACACCTTCAGGAGGACTCGGAGCACAAAAGTTGCAGCTCGCCAAGAGTTAAATCCCTCCGCTGATGCTATAGGAAGAAGAGTGTGGATCCACTATTGGGTGGAAATTTTGATAGGCAAGGAGTGTACAGGGATGCTGCTGTGCAGCTTCCCTGAATCTCACCATAATATGCATTCCAGTGCAAGTGCAGGAGGGCAGCCTGAGGAGTCAGTGTGGATTCTAAGCACCAGGATATGGAAGGAGGAGAGCCCAACTCTGCAATGAACACCTGACGGGTTATCACCATCGTTGACTGTACACAGGAACTTCTATCAAGAGTGTCATAGCACCTAGCAGTGACAGTGAGTTCTAGCAGTCTCATGTAATGTGTCTCCAGTTTATGACGGTCTCTTGAAGCATGTCCCCAGTCTCCAAAAACTCCTATAACATGTTCGCAGTCTCTGTAGCATTACAGTCAGTGAATATTATGTGCCATTTTTTGCTTACATCAGGGGCCACACTTCAGGCCCCCTATAGCAAGTAAGTTAATTACAGCTGGAATATACTGACAATATAGTCCTGATTGCAGCACTCAATGTTTTGTTGTACTTTACACAATCCTGACATCTGCACCCTATGTGCTATGTCTGCAAGAGCTGTTGGGTCGCCACACTTTATATAGAGTGTAGAAACCAAAAGTTGTAGCTATTTAAAAACAATTGCATAAATAATTTTACTATAGAACAATAACCTTCTTGGCTGTGTTTGTCCTTATGACAAAATGCCATGTATATACAGTATTTTAAAATTAAATTGTACAAAAGGTTAAACTATGCATTTGTTTTTATTTTAATGCTGGCAACTATGTATGTGTGCAAATTTGCTGTGTGCTATTACTGAGGCTTGCCAATAGTACTACACTTACTCCAAAGTCTGGGTTTTCCAGTAAGGGCACAGGGTGAAAATAAACAGTGAGAAAGGCAGACACGTAGAAGGAGAATGTAACACTGCTCTGTGCAAAACTGAGAAGAGCAGAGAGATAGATGTGGTGCATGACCCATTGAGCCATGCAACCAAACTGATTTTGTAGAGGAAAAATTCCAGTACTGCTAACAGGAAAGAGAGGGTGATTTTCTGCAAGGAAGAGCTAGGACAGGGCGAGTGAGGGAAAATGTGAGTATATTCACCAAGACTGTAAAGCTGAATTGGTGCATTCAGTTGGTGGTCTTTTTTTTTTCTTTTCATACCACAAATACAGGAAGAAAAGCACTGTATATATGTGTGGGGGAGCAGGATATGGAGGGAAAGCCAATAGCTATGTTGGGTATAGGACCTCACTAAACTGGAAGCAGAATCTCCGATGTGAACATGGTACAAAAAACTTTAATACCATAATACATACATACGTACGGACAGACACACACACAAATCAAGTTTGAAAGCGGACGACTTGAAAATAAAACAAAATACAGCTAAGATTGACCAAAAGCTGTTCTAGTTTTTAATTAAGTTAAAAGTATGCACAGTCTATTTTATAGAGATATAAGCTTACTTTTTCTACTGCTAAATTATTCCCACATGTATCCAAGTGACTGGTTGTACAGCTGCCCATCTTCACACCCCAACATGAGCATTGTGTTCCTGCTTAGTACAGCCTGCACATTGGAATCTTGTTCATATGTAACCTGCCATATGCCTGCCCTTCTGTGCAACTCTACTACATTCACTGCTACAAGTTTATCAACTACAATGCCAGAGCTTAATCATAGTCACAGACTGATGTCCTCATATTGCTGGAAATGTGTTGCTATTGATTTAATTACATTTTTCCCCATAAGAAGACAAAGAAAACATGGGGTAGTGACATGTGACTGAAGGATAGTGTGGTTGATGGAAAAGAGAAAAGGTTTGATTGCTCCCATTAGTTTCAGCAATGAAAGACACATGGTTTTCCCTATATCAGTACTGCAATTTTTTGTCCACACACATCTGATCATAGAAAATATTTGCATTTGTATGTGAGCTTTGGTATTGTTGGGTCATCTGTGCAGAAAACTGAATTATTCAGCATGTCCCTTAACAACTAAATGAAAGGAATCATTTGTTCAAAAGAGTGAGAAAAAAACATTAAGAGGCAAGAGCACTCTTATAAAACAAAACCTTTTAATATAATCCATCTTTGTCTTGGATGGTATTTAAATGTATGTCCCATTTGTTAATAATGTCACTCCTGCAGTTCTTTGGGAGTTTGTGTTAAGCTTGCCTCCCACTCAATGGTTTATGCTGATTCTGAAACTTAAATACCACATGAAGTCAGATTTAACACCTGAACTCACAAATCTAGCAAGTTATTGGGTGAAATTCAGAATAAAAGCCGGCCAATTAAATATAACTCAAAGTTAGAGACGAGCTGGGTGTTTTTTTCATTTCAATCATTAAGAAACTTATTTTAAGCACAAACACATGTTGAATAATTTTAATAAAAAATCTTACAACAAAGACAATTTCAAAGGCTCTCAGTT